GGATTAGGGATTTGTGCGGCACTTTCCCTATTTATAGAGAGGTGCTTCCCCTAATTTCTCCTGCTGTTTTCTCATTTTTCTTTCGAGCTTTCTCTCTCTAGAATTCCTTTGCATACTCTCAAGCCTTCTCTCTCTAGAATTCCCAAATTTCCTCCAGCGTTTTTATGTACTACTCCTCTAGCTCAGAATCTGAAGAGATGCCTTTGATCCGCAAAAGCAAAACATCCGCTGGTAACCAGGCCGAAGGCTCTTCGTCCCAAACACCCAAACCCGCCAATCCTCAGGTCAGCAAACATATCGAAGAGCCACAGGAGGATGGATGTCTGTCTGGAGATGACCTCCAGGTTTACAACAAGGGGATGCCCGAGCGGCCACCCCGCATTGCCCTACACTTCAATCGCATACGCAAACACAAACAACGTCTCCCAGAAGATGTTGAACGGCAACTTAGCCAGTTGTTGCCCCCACCAAGAGAATACTATGCCGGATTCAATCGGCACCCTATGAGGCACAGACCGGGGCACGTGCTAGTGCACCTCGATGCTCTGACTGCTGGACTTCGGTTCCCTCTCCATTCATTCATAGTGGAGTTCTTACGCCGGGTTGCTGTACTGCCCGCTCAGTTCGTGCCCAGCACCTACCGTATTCTGACAGGCTTCATTATCCGGTGCCACGAGTTGAGGATCACCCCGAGCGTCGATCTGTTCCTTTATCATTACTGCTATCAGCCCTACTGGACGACCGAGTACCTGAAACTGGTAGCTCGTTCTGACCGTCAGCTGTTCACAGAGAACGTTACCCCGCAGGCTGACTGGGAAGAGCGGTTTTTGTTCGTTCGGGTAGGTGATTCTTTGCCATTCCCGGACAGGTGGAACGCATACCCCGTTCGGGATTCCCTGCCCAGGGTGGATGCCGTTCTACGCTCCCAGGCTGAGTCTTTGCGAATGGGAGGGACCAGAAGTCTTCGCAGCTTTGTCACTGCCTCGAGCATGTTATCTGCTGGAATCGGTAAGCATAGTAGGGTTTTAACCCGATCATCCTTCGCTCTCACAATTCAACTTCTTGTTTTTTATTTCTCTTTCTTGTAGGTGTGATATCTCCCATACCCGTCCGGCGTTCTATCTCTTCTGCTAAAGGGAAGGAGAAGATGATAGCCGATCGTGATTCGGCGCAGCAAACCCGCAAAAAGCGCAAAGGAAATGATGGCGATCACCTGATCCCGATCGACCATGTGGTTGACTTGACCGGGCCGGAGGTCGAGCCCAAAAGATCGGTGCCTGCCAACAAACCAACTCCGGTTCTTACTGTCACACCGATCGATGATCGGATGTTTGTTGAATTTTCAAATATGGGGCCTAGATCAGAGGGGAGGTATGTGTTCGGGCTGATGCCATCTTCTATGTGGTGACATACTGCGATCAAGGTTCCCCCTAGCTTCACCAACTTGACTCATTGGTCAGACCTTTTCGAAGTAGGTCACCAGGAAGCACTCAAGGTACATTTCAGTCCGACCCATACCTTTCTATTATTCATGTTTTACCTTTTCTGACTTTCATTGTAACCTTGTTTTCAGGCTGGCGTGTATTATCACAAGGCCTTTCTTGCTGGTGAGAAGGAGATGAAAGCCGTGGCCAGCGATCGGGATGACAGCCAGGTCCTCCTTTCCGCCGCTCGGAAGTTAGCGACCGACCTCCAAGAGCAGGCCAAAGAGGGTGAGAAGGCAAAAGCTGCTCTGGCCGAGATGCAGGAGACGTCCCGTCGTCGCGACCGGGAGCTCAAAGAACTCCGGGCCAAGGTGCGGGCTGCTGAATCTGCTAGCATTAAATTTGATAAAGCTGTCGGAGATCATCTGCCCGAACCCTACACGGTCAATACTTCTCAGATTGCTCAGCAATCGGTAGTGGATTTCCAACGGGGCAAGGCGCTGAACGTCGCTCTGGAGAACACGGCCCGGCAATTCCTAGGTCCTCACCTTGGCCAATTTTTGCGTGAGAGCTCAGATCCTGAATGATTCCACGTGTTAACAAGCTGAGGTGAGACTCTCTTCACAATTGTTCTGACACCTTTCCCGAACCCGTTTTGATCCCTTTTCCTGTTCGTGACGCACGGGTTCAAAACTCTTAGCTGAGGTGAATTCCTCCAAGCCGTTTTGATCGTGACCACAGGGTCAAACTCTCGGCTGGGATAGGGGCTCCCTCCAAACTGTTAACCCGTTCGTCATTCGGTCATCCATAATGATTTCATGCGTTAACAAGGTGAGGTGAGGCTCTCTCCCTTCCAAACCCATAATTCCGATGCATTCCGAACCGTTCTCTCTGGCTCGTATCATCCAGATTAGGGGTCTGAGGTTACCCTTTTCGAACTGTAAGCAAGATCACCGAATTTGGGTCATTCCTTACTTATAGCTAAAAGGGCGACTAGCTTCCAAGTCAAGTTTTATGACTGAGGCGAGATTTTTCAAAACCATAGTTCCGATTCCCCGGGCGACAATCCGTACCTTATCCGAACGTCGCTCGGTTAATCCATATCTTACAGTCTTGACACCATCTCCAAGCCGTTTTGATCCCTTTGCCCGTACGTAATTACAGGGTCGACTTTGGCTAAGTTGACGACTCAGCTCCCTCCAAGCTGTTAACTCGTTCGTCATTCGGTCATCCAGAATGATTCTACGTGTTAACAAGCTGAGGTGAGAATCACTGTCCTTCGAACTCCAGGCCATTTTGATCCCTTCATCAATGCGTAATTACAGGGTCAAAACTCTTGCTGAAATAATGGCTCCCTCCAAACTGCTAATATGTTCGTCATTCGGTTTTCCAGAATTGATTCTCATATTAACCGCTGAGATGAGACTATCTGAGCGTCAAACTCCCAGCCGTTGGCTGAGAATGACTTTCCTTCCATGCTGTTAACTCGTTCGTCATTCGGTCATCCGGAATGATTGAGTTAACCACGGGCACCGATTTTCTGAGCCTCAATTCTTCAAGCCGTTTTTGATCCCTTTATTCTTACATAAATCTAGGGTCAAAAACTCTCTAAACTGAGAATTGATTTTCCTTCCATGCTGCTAACCCGTTCGTCATTCGGTCATCCGGAATGATTGAGTTAACCACGGGCACCGATTTTCTGAGCCTCAATTCTTCAAGCCATTTTTGATCCCTTTGTTCTTTCATAATTCTAGGGTCAAAAACTCTCTAAACTGAGAATTGATTTTCCTTCCATGTTGTTAACCCGTTCGTCATTCGGTTATCCGGAATGATCGAGTTAACCATGGGCTGAGTTTGTGGAAGTTATGTCTCCCTCTCTATTTTTTTTTTAGAGGTGGCAACAGCCATTTTTACTGATAAAATCTCCTCAAATGCTCCACATTCCAAGTTCCTGCCGATCGGCCTTCGGTATTTTGTAGGCCAAACGTTCCTGAAGCATACTTCTTACATACTTGGTAGGGGCCTTCCCAATTTTGTGCCATTTTACCCCCTTCGAGCGGTTTGCTTTTCTCTCTCTTTCTTAGCACCAGGTCCCCTACCTCGATTGAACGAACTTTAACCTGCTTATCAAAGTATCTTCTTGTGGCTCTGTGATACTCTTCCATTCGTGCCGCTGCCAGATCCCTTCTTTCTTCTATGAAATGCAATTCGGCCCGTAAGTTATCTTCATTCTGTTCTGGGCTGTAATGCACCGTTCGGTGTGTGGGAACTAGGATCTCCGTTGGAACTTTGGCTTGAAAACCATAGGCAAGGGCAAATGGAGTCTCTCCCGTGGCCGTTCGGGGTGTGGTCCTGTAAGTCCACAGAATGTAATTCAACTGATCAGGCCACGATGAGGAGTATTCTTCTAGCTTCTTCTTCATGCCATCCATGATAGTTCGGTTCATATTTTCTACCTGGCCATTTGCCTGAGGGTATGCGACGGACGCTCTGGAATGCTTGATCCCCCATTTGACCAGGTAGTTCTCAAAATTCCGGCTCACGAACTGCCTTCCATTGTCAGTTATAATCTGTTCAGGGATGCCGAACCGGCAAATGATATTTTTCCAGACAAACTTCAGGCATTTAACATCTGTGATGCTGGCCAGTGGCTCGGCCTCTACCCATCTGTGATGCTGGCCAGTGGCTCGGCCTCTACCCATGGGGAACTGATTACTTCTGTACCCCGATCGCCATTCGGGGTATTATGACATTGGTATACTTCCTGATGCACTCACTTCGTTCGAGACATCGGAAGTGGGGGACTTGTGTTGGGATATTGACCTAGAGGCCCAATACCCAGATCGGGAAGGCCCAAGATATCCGGCCCAAGTAACAGGCCCATCACTCCATGATGAAAAGATCCAGTAAGGAGGCATACCGAACGAGGTTCGGCCCAAATAAAGGTTGGCCCAGTAAGAAGACATACCGAACGAGGTTCGGGCTATATATCATACTTGGGCCAATTTGACAGCATCTTCAGTGCAACCCAACATCCCGTTCGAGCAACGGCCAACCAGCAAGTGGCCAGGTGCAGTTAATGCCAGACTATGACATCAGCAAGTGGAAGCATGGATGACCAAGTCGGTGGAACAACGGCCAATCAACAAGAGGCAGCCCACGCTCTCCATTAGTATAAATAGAAGGTTTCAAGTCATTGTAAGGGTTAGCATTTCAATATTCAAGCTCTAGAATAGCATCATTTGCCCTTACTTCTTGTATTAAAGCATAGTTTCCGACTTACCGATCGGGAAATTCCTTGTAATCAGATTGGTTAATTAATACAAGTGAGCTTTCGAGTTTTAGTTAGTTCAGATCTTATATTTTCTTTTACGCTTCGATTCTGGGCCATTCCTGATATATCCAAAGTTCGTGTTGGGCTTTCGGATCTACGGGACTTACCCTCAACAACTTTTATCAAGGTAATTGCTTTTGTAATCCCTGCCATAAAATGAAGAATCCCTCTACCATTTCTCCCTTCCGGTATAAATAGAGAGTTTTTTCCCTTCTCAATTATACGGATAAATCCTCCAAAGAAATTAACATCATATAGGATGAAAATGAAATTCTTTAGGTCTAAATGGTTAGACCAATTTCCAGAGAGAAGTTTGGGAATGGAATCAATCAACCAATTCATTCTTTGGAGGTCAAGATCAATAGCAGATGAAATTCCATGTTTGGTTTCAGATATACGAATAGCATTGGAATCTAATATATTGAAAGAAAAAGTTTTGCTTTCAATAGAAAAATCAAACCCATCTATGTGAGGATTAAACATGGTCTCTTGGGATGGAGCTTTCCAACCTCGATGTCACTGATAGCTGCCCTCGGTGCTGTATCTGCTCCTCCTCCTCTCTGGAAACTCATGGTTAGGCCTGTCCTGATTGTGCTTTTCGTACAAAATCATCTTTCCTTTGCTGCCGCTCCTCCAGTGAAGGCTTCGAGACTTCCAGCCAGAGATGCCCCTCGAACGCCTAGCTCTGCCATGACTGTCATTCACAGGCCTTCGCCTCTGCAAGCCTCTATGCTTAGAAACGAAAGATGTGGCTTCTCCAAATCAAGCTTTGGGTCTCTCATCTTTTCGCCAGGCTCTGCACAGGTTCCGATGCGAATCTCGGCTAGTGTCCCAGGTTTGCTTCCCTACGATTGGAACAACGAAAGAGCCGAATCGAAGAGTAGAGGCGCCGCATTCTATAGACCGTCGAATATCTCCCGAAGAAGATCCTGTGCCGACATTTCCATTGGCATCGACGAGTTGCTGAGCGATTGGAGCGGAGCTTGTTGTGACCTTTGTTCTGCCTATCTCCCATTGCTTCCCCGCTACCGGAGACTTCAAATGGTATCAAGAGCCGTGTTTCTACTCTAAATTTTTTTCTCAATACCTATGGCGTGTACAGCCGCTGCTTATCAAACCACCACTATCGCGCCTCTCACGATGGCAGCGATGCAGAGCACGGCAGCGCCTCTCATAACGACAGCACCTTCTTCCGTCACCATGTCGACGGAGTACATGACCTCATCAGCTCCGTTCTCTCTCACTTTTGGCTCCATGTCGACCGTCTTGCAGCCCTCCTTCTTAGCGCTGTTTCGGATGAGCAGCTTGGTTATTGATACGTCCGCTTGGGTTCAGCCGGTGTTCGACTAGTCCTCTCCAGTCACGGCCAGTATTCCGATCGTCCAGGACTACACGACAAGATCAGCACCTTCAACTTCATCCAAAATTCAGTTCGCAGTCCCACTTTTTCTGGCTCGCAGGGTTTGGCGACTCAACCTACGCCCCGTCCGATAGGCAGGTCGGCTGCAGCTCACTCTCCTGGTTCCCTGGAGGCAATTGCACAATCCATGCGTTTTTTTGACTCCAAATATTATAAATATTGTGTACGGGAGGTAATGGCACAAACCATGAAACTTGATGCAGTTGAAGATTATCTATCTTGGCTCACTCAATTCGAGTCTTTTTTTGTGTCTTATGGACTGTTGGTTATTCTAGATGGTACAATTTTTACTCCTCCTCAATCTACTTTTGATGTTCTTCATAAAAAAGTTGTGAATAATGAGTACTATTATTGATTTAAGTTAGACCAAACAGTCCGTTCATGGTTGAAGTTCACACTCTACAAAATTCTGCTACCATCTGGGAACATCTGAAATCATGGTTTATCGCTGCTAGTCTGGCTCGTTCCATGGAATTAAAGCGATTATTAACTAATTCCAGAAATAGAGAAAATCAAACCATGGAGCAGTATATATGTGAAATTCAGAAAATTGTTGATGCCCTTGTTGCAATTAATTCCCATGTATCCATGAAAGATCTTCTTGAACAAACACTTCTTGGGCTTGGTCTTGGCTATGAGTCCATGATTACCACATTGATGACTTTTCCTGAGGGACTCACGTTTGATAGTCTACGGATCAAGCTGGTGCACCAGGAGCAACGCCTATTGTAGCTTCGTTCTCAAGAATCCACGTCCTCACCTATGGCCTTTGCTGTAATACCCGAGATTAATTTAAGAGGATTAATAGTACTACTCATACAAACAGAGGCGCATCTCTTTTAAGGGAGCTCATCACCTAAGAACTCCAAAGTTAAGCGTGCTTGCACGAGAGCGTTCTTGGGATGGGTGACCCCCTGGGAAGTTTTTGAGGGCGCGCACGAGTGAAGACAAAGTGTGTGGTAAAGGCTCGTGGTGGTTTGTGAGGATAGTACTAGAGGTCTAGAGTAACTACCCCGGGTCTTGCGGAGCCCTGGGTGTTACATTTGCAGTCCAGCCCATGGCTCCCGCTGGTTCAGGGAACGATGCACGTGGCAGTTTTAATCAAGGTCGGGGAAGAGGCCGGCATGGTCAGCGCGGTAGGCCCCCCGCTACTGAGGCATGGTTTATGGACAGCAGGCACTGTACGCGGCCCAAGGGTGCGGCTAGCAGCCTGACTACCACCAGTTGCGTCTAGGACAGCAGGCACCAGGCGGATACTTCACACAGGGCTATTATCCGCCTCCTTCGGCTCCTACTTCACACGGACGTCCATGTTTAGTATTATGTAATTCCGTTTTTTCATCGTTTCATGCACATCCCTATTTTGTTACTGGTACTGCCCATGACTATGCAGGCTCACCTTTAGTTGATGGACAGTTTGGTTCTATTCCCCCTCCAGTTGTCTATCAAATTTGTTATTCCCCAGGTCACTCTGTTGTTTCATGTCCGTCCCGTTTTAATCAGCCGTCAGCCCTAGCTCTTGCTGCACCCATGGGTGATACTAGTGACGTTGTCTGGTTTCCAGACTCCGGTGCTTCTGCGCATACGACCTCTCAGGAAGGTACATTAGTTAATAAATCTATTTATTCTGGACCACTTACTGTTATTGTTGCTAATGGAACTAATTTACCCATTAAAAATATTGGTGATATTTCCATTAATTCTCTTTAACGACCTCTCCATTTAAGATCTGTTTATCATGTTCCTCAAATTAAATACTCCATCCGTTCTTTTTTAGTTGCAACGGTCAACATTTCACATTTGCCAACGCACATCTTTGACCGTAATTATATCTTAATTCTATTAGTAAAAAAATATTAAAAATCAGATTTTGAAAATTTGTAATGAGATGGATTGAACAATATTTTTTTTAAAAAAACTAATTTTCATAAAATAATAGCATAAAATGTAGTCAAAGTAGAGCATGTGAATAGCGTAAAATTCAACATGTTGCGATTAAAATGGAATGGAGGATAGTATAATTTATTATCCATACAAAAATTGTGTTCTGACAATAATTGCATGGTGATTTTTGATAAAAATTATGTTTTGCTAAAGGACAAAACTGTTAGTCCCATAATTTAACATTCAACAATCATAACAAGAAGAATAAGAAGCAGATAGAAAGAAATCGACAAGATTGAAACGCAAATCTGGTAAACCGTATAAACCGTATGAACCTGCCGCTACTCTCCCTGGAGAAGGAGAGCAGCGGCAACCCTAATTTCTCTCTATCTCGCCTCTACGTTTCTAAGCCTCTCTCAATTAGTTTTGGTTCCCGTAAGTTAGCCTCCTTTTATAGGAGAAGTTGGCTAACTTACGGGTTACAAGGAAGCCCACGGGCTGATACACATTTGTGGCCCGTATTACACGTTTAATTAATAACTATACAAATACAAAGATAACTAACTAGATTGAACACCATAAAATATTCCCAACAATCTCCCCCTTGGTGATCAATCGCGTTGAATCAGCATTGCAGCGCAGATATCTTTGTCTTTGTTGTTATTGAGCTTCCTTTGTCTTTGAACTTGACTTCTGAGGAAGGCTATCTGAATAAATCCTTGCAATCTCCCCTTTGATGTCTTCTTGACAGTTTGATCTTTGATGCCGGGGGTTGAGGGACCTTCAGTATCTTGCATGTAGTCCTTGCCTTCCAGAAGTTGCTCTTGATCAGCTTGGATGAAGTCCGGTGACGCCTCTAGAATGAATGTTCTTTGGAGAATAGGAGACGCCCATGGAATTCATCTTCAGGACACGAGTATTTGACCTCTGTCTCCTCCACAATGTAGTCTTTTTGACTATTTGGAATGAATGCATTTGGGGAGAACTTGTCGGTGGCACAGCGGAACATAATGATGGTTGATTTGTGAGTGTAGCTGACCATTTGAGTTGCGGAGATAGTAGAGAGAGTTTTGGAGGAGAGAAGTGTCCCAGAATGATTTGTTCAGTGTTAACAACATGTGGACCACTCTCCCCCTCATGACGATCCGATGACTCGGGGCGTCATGCCTTTATCCTTTTATTCTGCGGGAAATAAAACAGGAGAAACAAGCAGAATGTAAAGAAGATAACGTAGCCCCCCGGGGTCGTGAAGACACCCGTTATCATCACTATAGAGATAAACTCTTTAGCAATGGCCTGAAAATGTTGGTGATTCTTATGTTGCAACAGCATGACTTCCTTCCAATTATTGGTCTACATCTGTAATAGATGAGCCCTATGGAAGTTCTCGCGGGTCTTTGAAGACCTGCAACTGACTCAAAAAGTGTGTCGGTGTCCTAGAAAATTCAAAAACATTTGGGAGTGAGGTAACTAGACACGACGTGATCAATGAAAGTTCAGTGGCATGGGGCTGAGGTCACTGTAGTCAGTATTACTTGCCTCGTAAGGAGGTAGTAATGAGAGATGTGGTTCCCCGTGAAATATGATTAAACATCTGTCTGTTGGGAGACAGGTGAGTGGTCTAGGGTAGGGTTGTGCATGCGCCGTTTGGACAAAATGCAGCGACTTCTACCCGGGATCTGAATAAATTCAGTCCTGAACCTATGGGGATAGTCCAGAGTATTTTAGTGGCTAGGAGCAAATGGTCAATTCATAGCAGGCAATTGAGGTAGCAGACTCATCATTGATAATTGTTTCCTTCTCACTCGAGCCTTCTGCTTCCTAATGCTCATAATGTTCACTCACTCACTCGCTCACTTACGTTCGGCTTTGTCCCTTGGGTAGGCTTAGTTGGGTTTACTAAGCCATAGGAACATGTTCTCTCATTACTTTCTTCATTTTCTCTCTGTACTCCCCCTCAACTGGAGCACTCGGTATGCTTTGTCATTGTTAGGCACCGGGGAGGATTACTTTGAACACTCCCCCTAGAATGTTGCATCCGTTGAGAGATTCCTTGCTTTGTCGGTGTAAGGCGCCAGGAGGAGAAAACTGAAACTCCCCCTCAGAATGTGCAAGGTTTGATTGCTCACAACTTGTCATCCCCGCCATGTGTGTGGAGCAATCTGAACAAGTACCACACATGACGGTTTCCCTGAGCTCATCATGTAGAATTTCAGCATATTGATGGTCACATAATGTTGACAAGTCAGGGGAGGCTTTTCAACAGTTGATTGTTGATTGTCGTAAGATGACCGTTGACGCGAGGTGATTGAATTATCTACGTTTTTCAGACCTTTACATTGAAGTTTAGAAAAGCTTTGACTTCAGGGTTGACAATGAAAGAATTTGAACAGATTTGCCTAAGTTTTGACCTGGACATCGGTGATTTACAATGTTTGTCGGAAAACTAACGTTTTAACCCTCAAGGACTGCGAGTGAGGGCGCGTGAGAAAGGGTTCTAGGGCATAGCCCGAGAATTAATGTAGATCTTTTCGTTAGCTTTCCAACAAAAAAAAGTTTGCTCAAATCGGATCATCGAGTCAAAAGTTATGGCCAAAACAGTGCGGTGTCGCAGAAAATCTCTAATTTTGAGTTTTTGAGGAATTTCTTCGAAGATGAGGTGCTCGATGTTGAATGTCGAGACCAGGTGGATTTTAAACAAAATTCTAGAGATTGCCTCGAAGAATAATGGCGAAATCCACCTGCAAAACAAACCTCAGAATATCGAAATCTGCATAATTTCAAAATGTTTGAACATCGAAAACTTTGGAGTTTCGAAAACCTCATAATCTCGAAAACTTGTTGTTTGAAAAACATCAGAACATCGAAAACTCCTGAAACATTTATAAGCAGGGAATCATTTAGAGATCATATAATGTAAAGCTTCGATTAACTGCAGAGGATGTCAAGTTTCGAATTATGAGTTCCAAGAAACTGCAAACTTTGAAAGATTCAAAACATCGAGAAATTTTGAAAATCTCGAAATCTTCAGAATGTCGAGATCCAAAACATCGAGATCCCAAATGTCGAAATCCCAAAACTCGAAATTCCTAAACTCGAAATTCCAAATCTCGAGATTACAAATCTCGAGATCTTGATGTCGAGATTCAAATCTCGAGATCTTGATTTCGAGATTCAAATCTCGAGGTCATGATTTCGAGATTCAAATCTCGAGATCTTGATTTCGAGATTCAAATCTCGAGATCAAGATGTCGAGATGCAAATCTCGAGATCAAGATTTCGAGATGCAAATCTCGAGATCAAGATGTCGAGATGCAAATCTCGAGATCAAGAAGTCGAGATGCAAATCTCGAGATCAAGTTGTCGAGATGCAAATCTCGAGATCTCAAATGTCGAGAAGAAGAAATCGAGTCCCTAAATGTCGAGATCCTGCAAAACGAAAACATTGATTTTTGAAAATCTGAAACCTGTTCTGAATAGCCCTGAAAGTCGAGATTCTCCTGTATCAGTTTCAAGCCAAAAACGTTTCTGCAGCAGTGAAAATTAAGGATTTCGAGATCTCAAAGTAGAGATCTTCGAAATATAAAATTTGCAGAAAACGAAAAAAGAGGTATGCTGCTGGATCGGTTTTGAAAGGCGAATCCAACAGTATGATTTTTACAAAATTTCGTTCACAAACGAGATTACAGGAGCAAATCTCTACATGTAGAAAAACAGAAGAAAAAAAACAGAGCAGTTCGTCGTTACATCCAAAAAATCGCAGACAGATCCAACCTGTTTCACGCCTCGGCTCTGATACCAAATGTTAGTCCCAGAATACTAACAATCATACAACCATAGCAGTGATAAAGAAGCAGATAGAAAGAAATCGACAAGATTGAACGCGAATCTGGTATACCGTATGAATTGTCCGCTGCTCTCCCTAGAGAAGGAGAGCAGCGGCAACCCTAATATCTCTCTATCTCGCCTCTGCGCCTCTAAGCCTCTGTCGATTAGTTTTGGTTCCCGTAAGTTAGCCTCCTTTTATAGGAGAAGTTGGCTAACTTACGGGTTACAAGGAAGCCCACGGGCTGATACACATTTGTGGCCCGTATTACACGTTTAATTAATAACTATACAAATACAAAGATAACTAACTAGATTGAACACCATAAAATATTCCCAACAAAAACCACGAGGGCAAAATCCTTCCCCATGCTTCCAATAGCGGCAGTCTCCATCACCAACATTGGCTTTAGTTTCTAGCGCGGCGCCTGGACCTCTGTGGCATCGTCACTTGGGACACTGTGCGGTCGAGTTTTATATGGTCTTAGGAAGTCTGATCAACTCTGTAGTCTGTCTTCTTTTAATCATGATTGTTCTTCGTGTCATTTGGGTAAATCTCAGAGATTACCCTTTCAAGATGTTTTTCATAGTTCTAGTAAACCATTATTTTCAATACATTTAGATGTTTGGCAGCCTCCTGTGTTATCCTCTTTTGGGTTCAAGTATTATGTTTCTTTTATTGATGATTTTCCTGCTTTACATGGATATATCACATGCGTCGTAAAAGTGAAGTCTTTAGTCATTTTCATTCTTTTAAACGTCTGGTGGAAAATTTATTAGATCATAAAATTAAATATTTTCAAAGTGATGGAGGGGGTGAGTTTGATAATTTAAGTATGCGGTCATTTTTTAATTCTAATGGAATTCTTTTTCGTAAATCTTGTCAAGACACCCCCTCAACAAAATGGTT